ACTGCTCTCTCAGATTGGCAGTTGATAGCTGCTAGAGGAGGGGAATCACTCTGGGAGGGTACATTAGTTGCGTTTCTATTGCTGGAATAAAACTGTGACCAAGGCAACTTACAAAGGAGAACGTGTCATTGATCCTCCAGTTACAGAGAGTGTAGAGTCCATGACAGTAAAAGGAAGGCATGGTGGCACCACCAGCTGAGGCTCACATCTCAAACCCTGAGCAGGAGGCAGAGAGCACACTGAGAATGCCATGAGTCTTTTGAAACGTCAGAGACTGCACCCAATGGTGGACCACCCAGTCCTTCCCAAGCAGGTCTCCCAACTGGTGACCAAGTCTTTAAACACATGAGCCTGTTGGGGCCATTTTTATTCAACCTACCCAGGGAGTTTATAGCTCCTGGTAGGGTTCCCGTGCTCCCATGGATGGCCCCACATGTATGGGCAGCACTAATTAGACTTAGTAAGTTACAAAAACAAAAACAAAAACAAAAACAAACAAAAAAAAAAAACCAGCAACAACAAAAGCCGTGCAGTTAGGGAGGGAGCTATTAGGCAAAAGGGGACATTGATTACATTTTTACTGTACACATAGGTGGAAATCTCAACAAATAAAAATGTGCAATAGAAATACAACACAACACAACTGTGAGATACAGTGAACACCCTAGGTTACATTTATTGAGTGCCTACATAAAAAACAAACTTTGCAAATACCCTGTTGAGGTATCTGAAAGGCTTCTAAAAAATAAAAACTAAACTAAACCCAAAATAAGAAAGATCAGAAATAAATCAATATGAAAGAACAGTGAGGTCAAAAGTTGGTTGTTTGTAAAGATAAAGATGGAAACGTAACTGATTCAACAGAAAGTTAATGTATTAATAGGGATGATTTTTAAAAGTTGTTGACAAGTTAGAAAACCCCTGAGGACATAAACCATGTGACTAGAATAATAATAATAAGTGATGGTCAGAATTCCTACCAGACATCAATGCCCTTCATATTATTTAAACAGTAGCTCCCATAATCACTCAAGCAAGGCCTGTAAGGATCATGGTGTATTGCGTGCTGAAGTCTTTCAGCTAGTTCCTAGAGAGATCTGGGGGAGAGACCTCCAGAGAGGGATTTGTCCGTCCGTCCGTCCCCCCAACCCCCGTCCTGATGCTCTGGAATGTCCCTCCCCACACGGCTAGGGCACTGACTGGAGTCTGTGCTCGCCAGCTCCCTTCTCATCCTTTCTCCCGGACTCTCACTCTGTTTTCGACTCCGCAGCCAGAGGCTAAAGTGGTCCTCTGAGGCGCAGAGGCCGTGGGTGTCCACACACAGGGTGACGTCCTCATCTCCATCCTTTGGGAGACTCATGTAGTAACATCACAAATGCCGTCAAGGGTTGTGTGTTGCACACATCTTTTGTTCAGATCATTCATTATCATGTTTTTTAATCTGTCTTGACTAGCCTGACCCAGAGTTCATATTTTTCCATTCTTTTGTGGCTTCTTTTAAATATCAAAAATTACAGTTTCATTGTGGAATTAAATGTTCGCTGACTGTTGCTTTGTCTGAGTCATGTCACTTCCCAGCTTGCTTGAAGAGATCAGTAGAGAGGATGCTGCTGGTGCCTACCAGGCCTTTGCATTTATTATCACCTCATTCACTGCTCAGACTGGAGTGTAGGGAGTCCTGGGAGGTAGGTATTATTAGCCCCATTTTATGGGAAACTAAGACGTTCCAGAAGAAAAGCCTTCCTAAGCTACACAAGGGAAGAGAGAGTGTCAGGATAGATTGCCGCCTCACAGCTGTGTGACACAATGGCACAGCTTGGCTTTGCTTCGCTTTCCTCCACCTGAGTGTCTCACAGCGTTGCTGTGAGCTTTGACAGTGACCCTTGAAATGGCTAAAAGGGTCCTGGCATAGGACCATGACTCAATAGATGCTAGCTGGGTAAAGAACAGATAGGCTAGCTGAGGCCCTCCCCACAGCAGGACAACCCTAGAAGGGCTGTCAATGGTGAGTGCCTGGTACCCATGAGCCTGAAGGAAGAGAGGGGACACAGGTCTTCCCAGGGTACCGCCATCCTTGGCCTTAGAGGTTTCTATTAGCCTCTTCCAATCTCTCATTCAGGCACTGACTCGCTCATCTTTTCAATGTTACATCTAAATGTTACAATTTGTTGCAGAATACTTAGAAATCCAAGTGATTTCAAGATGGTATTGTTCTACCTGCATAAAATATTTTGAACTTTGTGAAAACCATGCCGAATATGTGTCGTGAAACTCAGTTTGTTTTCCTCATCTTTCTGTAGTTCCAGAAAAGAAAAGAAAAAAATAGAATCTGGGTGTTGTATTGATGATGAAGTCAGAGCTCAGTTCCCTAGAGTAGAAGAATTTGGCTGGGCTTTTGATACCAAGAGGAGTAGGGATTCCTGGGCCATTTTATGTCATTTCAAGAGAGGCAGAGGAAAGATCCAAGAGGAGATGTTACCAGGCAGATGAAAACTGACTCAGGTCGGAACGTCCAGGGAAGGCCTCTCGCTCCACATGCATCCCAGTAGTGCATAGCCACATCCACTTAGGGCCTTGTCAGGTGCAGAAATACACCACTGGCAGGTGTGCCGGTTAGAAAAACACCTCCATGAGCCTTCCAGAGTGCTCACCTCCAACTCATCACCACGCGGAGAATGGTGGGGGAGCTGTGTGGGAGTGGGGTCATCCTCTTTGCTGGGTGTACCAGCAATTAGCTGTGTGCTGTCTGGATGGCTGACTCATCCAGTTCCACAGTGGAATAATGCAGACAACACAATTTAATCACTAGTGAAATTGAGACAAACTGCTGAGAGCAAAGTTTTTCCACCAGGTAAGTACCAAAGAATTGAGAGAACAGA